GGGCTCTGGAGCTGGGCAGGGGCCGAGGGCAGGGCTGACGCTGTGGAGGCGGCACTGTGGGCCCAATAGTCCAGCTCACCTGCCACCTGGACGTGGAAGGGAACCGGGAGGCTTCCAGGCGCCCTGTGGGCGTGACACAGAACCGTCAGGTGACCCCCTGTGACAACATGGAGGTCTTCCCAGTCGTTTTAGTCCCACAGACTTAGGGAGGAAACCCAAACCGACCGGAACCCACTGTGCGGGGATCGGGGACTGAAGTGTTGGGGCCTGCGATTCCCCAGGGACCCGTGCTTAGCCCTGACCTCGCCGAGGGACACAGCAGCTGGGCGGGAACCACAGTTAGCTGCGGTCGCCCCGGCCTGGGTGTTTTTCCCCGACAGACGATGGGATAGTGAGCCATCGATAGCCAGTGTTCTGCGCCTGGTGGTGAGATGGCCCAGTTGTTCAAGGGCCAGAGCAGAACGGGGTGGAGGCTGCTGACCAGGGGCGGGAAGGAGGGTTGGTGGCTCTCTCCCTCCGCCCCGCTGGCGCTGGCGGGAACCTGAGCCACCTGCCCTGGGGGTGACAAGACCTCACTGGCCTTGTCGTGCTCTGAATCACTTGCGCTGTGTTCTCCAAGCTGACGTTTAGGTGCAGAACAACAGAGGTGGCCACACGGGGTGGTGGCGGGTGATGTGCTGTTAGTGTCCGGCGTCTTCCTGAGGGCCTGACTCACCCCCACCCCCACCCCCACCGCTACCCCTGCACTGCAGAGAAGGTTAGCTCCTCCCCTGGTGTTTCCAAACCAGAATCTGCAGCAGCTGTCCCTGTGGGGTCCTGGGTAAGCCTCCCCCGTGCCCTGCGGCGGATGAGTGGCTTCTTTTAGGGAAATCCAAGGTTCTTTTTATTTGTGCTTTTTATTTATTTTTAATATTTTTATTTATTTCAGAGAGGAAGGGAGAAGGAGAGAGAGAAACATCAGTGATGAGAAAGAATCATTGATCAGCTGCCTCCTGCACGCCCCAACTGGGGATCGAGCCCGAAACCCAGGCATGTGCCCTGACCAAGAATCGGACCCTGACCTCCTGGTTCATAAGTTGACACTCAACCACTGAGCCGCGCCGGCCGGGGTATTTGTACTTTTTAACGGCATCAAAAAGTCATCCCACTCTTAGCCCTGAGTGAGGGGGCAACTCTTTCCCTCAGATTCGGTGGTTGGGGACCCGATAGGCAGTTTCCCGGGAAGTTGCTGGGTCCCCTGAGAGCTGGAGCCCAGATGGGGAAGGGTCGGCACTCAGCTCGCCAGGGAGAAGGGATGGCTGCTCCTCGCACCAGCCGGGCTGATGCAGCCGTGAATCAAGGGCACTTGGCGCAGGCGCCGAGCCTCCCGTTGGCCCCTTCCTAACACAGTCCTCTAGCATCCTGTCGCCTTATCTATCTCCTGATGCGGGCGATGCAGGACAGAGAGGAGAAAGTCTTCCCACAGGAGATAGGATATAGCAGCCGCCTCGATGGCCCGGCTCTCGCTGCTCTCTCTCCGTTTCTCCCACTTGTCGGGCAGAGCGCAGGCCCCAGCATCGCGTATCCCGATTAGCTGGTGCCGATGACTGGGGGATGTTTTCTAAGCCGGTCATTGACACACTGCACTCATTAGGTACCAAGTCCACAGCAGAGGGTGGCTGGCCGTAAAGCACACAGTAAACAGTGAACCGGACGCCCCAGCAGGCGCGGGGTGTGGCTTCTCGGTGGAGACATTCGCTGGCTGACCATGTCTCTCCGTAGATTTGTCTTCCGCTCGGCTCTCTCAGTAACGTGCCCTTTGTCGTTTGCAGACCGCAGAATGGCTCCATGATCCTCTACAACAGGAAGAAGGTGAAGTACAGGAAAGACGGGTACTGCTGGAAGAAGAGGAAAGATGGGAAAACGACCCGCGAGGACCACATGAAGCTGAAGGTCCAGGGAGTGGAGGTAAAGAGCCAAGGGCCCTCCTGGGCCTCGTACATCCTGGCCCCGGGGGCCGCGAGGCCAGGCCCCTCTGTCGAAAGTACTTTTGTTCGTTTCCTTTTCTCCTCCCTTCTTACCCTCCGGTCTCCGTTCACGTTTTACACAAAACTGGATTTAGCTAAAGTTCCTGCATCCAGGAGCCATTGGTGTGCGGTTGGGAGTGGCGAGGGGTGCGGAGTGGGGTGTGGGGCTGAGGGCGGAGCTGCCTCTGGGTGCACTGAGCAATGCAGGGGCTGGGGGAGGAGCTACATCAGGAATCTCCCACGGGGTGGGGGGCTTCACTCCCTCTACTGACACTCCCTCTGCTTCCCTCTGGCTGTCTTGGGGAGCTCCCTGGTGTTACAGATAACTCGAGGGGCTAAGGTGTTCTGGGTTGTGGCAGGGCAGGGGGGAGGGCTGGAGGGGTGAGCCCTGCAGAAAGCATCGGGGTCTTCTGCAAACTTCCTCTGGGTCCTGGCGAGATGGGGGCCATCTGGCTTCCTTGCTGTTGTTCTTGTCCACCCTTGCTCACCTGGGCAGCCGTGGGCACATCCCTGGCTCCTCTTGCCCGGGTGTGAGGGCCGAGCCAGGGTCACAGCGCCAGAGGAAAGGACATGGACCAGACGCACCCGTGGCCACTCAGCAGCGAGCGCCACCTTTCTGCGCCTTGTGGGCCCTTGTGAAGGGTCTTCCCTGGGAGGTGGCAGGGCTGTCTCGGGCCAGGAGCTGGGGAGCTGCCTGTGACCCACCTGGTGTTCAGAGTGGTCAGGGAGAGGGCCCTGTGCCCACTGTCTGTGGGGTCCCTGGCATATGGGGTTGCTAGCGTGTGGGGTCCGCTGGTATGTGAGGTCCGCCAGTGTGTGTGTGACCCACCTGGTGTTCAGAGTGGTCAGGAAGAGGGCCCTGTGCCCACTGCCTGTGAGGTACCTGGCATATGGGGTTGCTAGTGTGTGGGGTCCGCGAGGTGCCAGGATTGACCGGCAGGACCGTCGGCCGAGAGGGCCCTGTGCCCACTGTCTGTGGGGTCCCTGGCATATGGGGTTGCTAGCGTGTGGGGTCCGCTGGTATGTGAGGTCCGCCAGTGTGTGGGGGCCGCGAGGTGCCAGGATTGACCGGCAGGACCGTCGGCCCCGCGAGCTCAGCGGCCCCTCCATGCTGACGCTCTTGGTGACGCATGTGTCATTCCGCCTTTTCTATATGAATCGTGTACTTTTCGGGATGTTAAAAGTAGCATCCGCTGGCTTTTATTAATTACCCCACAGAGAGAGGGAACTTTGTTGTGTGTGTTTTTAAACACCTGATAACAATGCTTTATGGTGATGACAAAGAAAAGGTCTGAGATGAGAAATGCAGTTCTGGACCGGCTCAGGGACACGCC